GCGCTCGGGGGGGCGGGGCCGCGGGAGGCCCCTCCCCTCCCAGCCGAAAGGCGACTTTTTTCTTTTAATGTTTTTTTGCAAAAATATTTTTTTATCTACAGAGAAACACGGCTCTGCGGGCGAGCCCCCGAGCTTCTGTTACACCAACGTCAGCAGCTGGAGAACAATTTTTAAGCAACCTTTATATATACATATACACACACACACACATATATATATATATATGTGTGTGTGTGTATATATATGTGTGTGTGTATGTGTGTGTATATATATATATGTATATATATATATAAAAAGGTTGCTTAAAAATTGTTTTCCAACTATTGAAGTTGGTCTAATATATGGATATATATGTGTGTATATATACGCATGTATATACACATATATGTGCGTATAGATGTATGCATGTATTGAAATACATGCTTAAATATTTATACGTAAATATATTTAAAGATACACTTTAAGCATGCATTTGCATACTCAACTATGGACTTCAACATATTCAAATGTGCACTTGGGTATTTAAAGATATGTGCCTATTGGAACATTTCACATATGTTGAGGTGTACGTATATGTATTTATGTCTGCACGTAAGTATGTTTCTGGTGAAGTGCAAGTTATTTCCTCCGAGCGCTGCTGGCGAGAGGGAAGTTAAGCAGGAAATCCTGAATTTGCGCTGGCGCTCGGTCCCTGGATGCGGCGTGGGCTTGAATCGAGTAGATCGTAGGAAACATTGTTTTCCTCGCACCAGCCAACGCTGGCTACACGTTACTGCCTGGGTAACATTCAGCCGTGCCTTGTTTCCAGGGGCTGAGGTTTAACATTTGTTCTGAGCAGCAGATGAGACTTCAGATGCCGCCTGCGTTGCCAACGTGCCCTGGCAGAGGGCCAGGCGCGGGAGCTCGCCCTGAAGCCGTTCACTTTTGGGGCAGGTCAGCTCCAGTCCAAACCCCAATGCGGTGGGCTCATCTCCTGTCCCAGCCTCCCCCTCCGTGTCTTAGACTCAGAGAAAACGGGGCTGGAAGGGAGCTCAGGAGATCACATCTTGTCCAACCCCTGCTCAGAGCAGGACCAGCCCCAACTACATCATCCCAGACAAGGCTTTTGCTAGCCGGGTCCGAGGATGGAGAGTCCACCACCCTCTGGGTAACCTACTCCAGTGCTTCACCGACCTCCTAGTGAGACAGTTGTTTCTGATATCCAACCTCAACTTCCCTTGCTGCAGCTTGAGCCCATTGCTCCTTGTCCTGTATCTGCCCCCACTGAGACCAGTCCAGCTCCAGCCTCTTTGCACCCCCCTGCAGGGAGCTGAAGGCTGCTATTCAGTCCCCCTCGGTCTCCTCTATCCCCCACATCATTGCTCATCACTGCTCTCCCGTCAGGACAGCTGCCCTACATCTCATTCAAACTGTCAGATAACTTCTCATCCTTTGCTCCATTGAAGGGGTTTTGCTGTTCAAGACCCCTCTGCCGGGGGGGTGGTTTGAACAGCAGGGAAAACACAGATGACGGGACGTCCAAAGTCGTATCGAGGGGGATGGAGGCTTAAGGGAGGCGGTGGCAATGAACCGCATGGGAGCAGTTTGCTTTGCAGTCCTGGAGCCACCTGCTGCATTGCCCGGCCTTCCCGTTGCGCCTGGCTCCAGAGGAGCGAGGATCTCATGGTACCAGCGCTCCTCTCCTCTTGCTAAGCGGCCCCAGCTCCATGAGCAAACGATGCAGTGACAAGGGGGTCGGAAGGCTTACTTTGTGAGGGGCGTACAGAGCCGCAGGGAAAGACTCTGCCGGAGTATGGAGCACCGATTTCCACCGGCAGAAACAGGAAACGTTGTGTTTGGGAGCCAGCCATCTCTCAGGGATGAGTTTCTTCCGAGAAGCAGCCCTCCCTGGCTGTCGCTGGGCCGCCATGATTGACTTTGCAGCTCTATTACAAACCTAGCAGGGCCCGCGTGTGTGTGTCATGACAATGAGGCGATTAAAAATTAACCTCCGGGCTCCCGACCGCTGCGGCCCCCTCCCCTCCCTGCTGCGCGCACGGCCCCCTGCACCCAACATGACATTTCTTTGCCTATTGCGCTCCTGCGGGCCGAGCGTTTAATATTGATGAGAGCCGCTCCTCTGATGGAGGCTATTTAGCACAGGGCCCAGGCTTCAGCTGCCCAGGGTCCCTCCCTCGTCAAATTAGGCCGAGAGTTATATGCCAAGAACTACCATCAATGGGACGAGCTCTTTGTATCTCCCACTAGGGAACACTCAGAGCCTCCTCGTGCTCTCTGCTGGGGTCACTCTTCATGCAGTCATATCTAGTCTGCAGAAGAGACTGGGGGGGATTTGAGAGCAGCCTTTAATGACCGGAAGGGTGATTACAAAGAGGATGGAGCTGGGCTGCTCTCGGGGGGGCAGATGGCAGGACAAGGAAGTAATGGGCTCAAGCTGCAGCAAGGGAAGATGAGGTTGGATATTAGGAAAATCTCACGAGGAGGGTGGTGAAGCACTGGGACAGGCTCCCCAGAGAGGGGGTGCACTCTCCTTGCTTGGAGGGTTTGAAGACCCGGCTAGACAAAGCCTTGGCTGGGATGATGCAGGGGGGGCCGGTCCTGCTTTAAGCAGGGGGTTGGACTAGATGTGACATCCTGAGCTCCCGTCCACCCTCATTGTCTAGAAATGGTAGAAGCATTGCCCGCAGATGGAGGGCAGTGATGCTTCCCTCTATTCAGCACCGGGGAGGCCACATCTGGAGTCCTGTGTCCAGCTGTGGGCCCCCCCACTACAGACAGGATGTGGACGCGTTGGAGAGAGTCCAGGGAGGGCAATGAAAATGGTTGTGGGCTGGAGGACAGGACTGGTGAGGAGAGGCCGAGGGACCTGGGCTGATTGAGTCTGGAGAAGAGAAGACCGAGGGGGATTGAATAGCAGCCTTCACCTCCCTGCAGGGGGGCTGCAAAGAGGACGGAGCTGGGCTGTCCTCAGCGCAGATGACAGAATAAGAAGCAACGGTCTCTGGTTGCAGCAAGGGAAGTTAAGTTTTGAAATTAGGAAAAACTTTCCCATGAGGAGGGTGGTGAAGCACTGGAACAGGCTATCCAGAGGCAGTGCAGTCTCCATCCTTGGAGGTGTTTAAGCCCCAGGTAGACAAAGCCTTGGCTGGGATGCTGTAGCTGGGGCTGGTCCTGCTTGGAGCAGGGGTTGGACTAGATGTGACCTCCTGAGCTCCCTTCCACCCTCGTTTTCAATGATTCTATGAAAATACTTTTAGGCCCTGATTCAGGAGAGCCTTTAAAAGCATGTGCTAAACCCACTGAAGATGCTCCTGTTTCCTGAGAGCAGTACATTTTGCAATTCCCCCCTGTGGAGGAGGTAAGTATCGTTATCTCCATTTAAAAAAAAAAAAAAGAGGCACAGAAAGCTTAAATAACTTAACTACGATGCCACAGCAAGTCTGCAGCACCCAGAGTCGCTCCAGCCTGCTGGCTACTCCCGTATCTCTGAATTAGACGAGCAGCGCCCCAAGCACCCAGCGCTCTGGGAAGGGGGTGAATGGTGACGGGGCGCTTTGAGGAGCACAGCTACGGCACCTCCTAAGAGAGAAGCTGAGCAGCCAGGTTTGCTTTCTGGGTAACGATCTCGTGACAGTTTCTGAGATGCGTAGCAGGCTCGTGGCCCCAAAGAGCTCCAACCGGAGAGCCATCACCTCCGTTCCCAGCGGAGAAGCCGCTAGCGCAATGCCGGAGGTGACAATGCAAGACGAATAAAGTCCTGTTAGCACTTCCTCTCCGTTCTCCCGAAAATGCAAAGAGCCAGTGGAAACAAAGTCATGCACATTCGCTGGCATTTAGCAGTGGCCTTTTCACGTATGCATGTTGGGATGGGAGACCACCCACGGCTGGAGCTGCTGGGGGCATCTGAAAGGCTCGGGCAGGGTTTCATGGCTTTTTAATGAAGTGGCTCACAGGTGGGGAAAAGCTTAAATCCGCTCTTTCATTCGCACCCTGAAGATCTCCTTTGATAAGAAGAACTAATTGCAGTAGATGTGCCAGGATAGGGTGCCGGCATTTGAGCAAGTCCTTGCGAATAACAGCAGGAGGGGGATACGACTGGGGCGTCCGTTTGCAGGGGAGGAGAAGGGGAATCTTAGTCCCCGAGCCTTGATCTTGTTATCAGATGCATCTTCTGATGAATGTGCCCTAGCTAGACAGCAGCTGAGACCAGCTCACGTTGGCACCCAGTGCGACCTACCTCCATTCCCCCCGCTGACAGCCCCAGGCACTTCAGCCTCCCAACATCGTGAACGGGGGGGGGGGACCTGCACTTCAACAGGCAATCATCCGCCAGCTTGCCCCTGGCTCTGCAGCCTGACTCCAGCTCCATCGCCTCTCCGGCCCAGATGCCCGGGGCTGGCACACGCTGCACTCAGAGGCCCACGCTCTCTACTCTGTCTCCAGACACCGAAGCAAGTCGGGAAAGTCTCCCGTTATCCCCTGGGCGTCCAAACCTGCCTGCCCCACACGCACGGACAGGGGCAGCAAGCCAGCAACGCGCCTCCCCTTCCACGCACCCCATCGGATGGAGACAGCGTGAAATCATCTCCTCCCAAGGCACCGCACCTCAAGTTTCCTTCCAGCTCTAGCTCAGTTCAACCCAGCTGAGCTGAGGAGCTCTGGCAGGGGCAAAGCACGATGCAAGCACTTCGGTGTGACGTCCTCCACTACTTGATCCACGTGCACGTGGGAACTGTGCTGGCCCCAAACAAAATAGGTCCCTGGGTTCGATAAAAAGCATGGGAAAAAGCTTTATTGCAACAGCGAGAACTTGGTACAAGCAGGAACAGCACGGAGTCGTCCCACCCTCCCCTGCCCCGCTGGGACCTTGCTGCAGCTGTGGCTGGGGTGCGTCTTGCTTGGCTATGCACAGAGAGAGAGCAAGGCCCCGAGTCCAGGTCCCGGAGGGGTCCAGGGACTAACTGCTGCCTCTCACATACAGGCAAGGGCTCTGGTTCACGTCAGCACCATGCCCCATAGCTTGTGTTTAAGGGGATGGCTACACAAACAGCGTACCCCCAGGTACGCAGGAGGCAAGGAGTTTCTGCACATCATCTGGGCTAAGCAGCCATGGTTTGGCTTCCACGTACGGCAGGTAAGACGGTGCACGCAGGCAGGCGCTACAGGACAGCCTGCAGCTAAAGCCTTGCTCCATTTGGCCTGCGGCAAACTGTTGGTATGTCCCGTGCGTTCCCTTGATTTGGGACCGTGTTTGGTAGAGAACGATAATACCCCATCCGCATCCTTCACCAAGAGACAGGCCCAGCTTCTGACCTCCCTCGCTGCCCTGGTAATCAGGGATACATTCATTTTGGCAGGGGATTTCTCCCCTCTTCCTTGTCCTCGCTCTCTTCACAGATTCACCGACCCGGTTCCCCCGCTGTGCTCGGACAAGCCGGTGTAACCGCAGGATCCCAGACCAGGACTGGGATCGCTTAGTGCGTTTGCTGGATGTATTCAATGAACCTTGGAAACTGGAGGGATGCTTTGACTCTTGAGGCCCTTCCCTCTGAATTAGCCCGCTATAAGCCCCTTCTAATTAAGGGTACCATCAGCATCCTTTGAAAGGATGGATCGACAGAGGGTAGCATGCAAGGCAGCGGGCTGAAGCTGCAGCAAAGCAGCTTGAAAACCCGATCTCAGGAAAACCCTTCCCAGTCGTCCGTGCAGTAGGACGGGGACCGAGTTGCCGGAGAGAGCTGTGGACTCACCTTTGCTGGAGGTTTGCAGCAGAGGCTGGGTGGGCGTCTGTCCGAGAGGGTTGGACTGCAGGACCCTGAGATCCTAGAAGCACAGACAACGAGGGAGGAAGGGACCCCAGGAGGTCACATCCAGCCCAGCCTGGTTAGGAAGGCTGGCAAGCCCCAGCCCTCCGCTCTCGCTATCTTTTGTAAGCCCCCGTGCGCAGCGATCTTGCCCCCTCTTAGCCCTCTCTAACCAAGCCAGATGAATTCCTTAACACGCCAGACACCGTCAGTATTCCTGTGTGAAGAAGCGGGTGCAACGCCCCAGCAGCAAGCCCCATAAAGCTGGGCACAGAGGTGAGGGCACTTCTGATGGTCCCATTTCTTGTCCCTTTGAGGATCGCGTATGAGCCAGGAGCAGGTGGGGCCGGACCTGCTCAGAAATATCCCTCGCCGAGCGTTGGGGATGTGGGGCGGGCAGACCCTTGGCCCACCCTCCCCAATGCCTTGCCTTGCATTACACCACTTCAGTGCATCACGGCCTTTAACCAGAGAAACCCAAGCATACAATAACCAGAGTCGCCTTTCTCGGCTGGACGGGTAATCCTGTCGGGACCTGGACAACAGGTTCATTTGACAGACCTGCTTTCCTGCAAACCCGGTTGACCGCCGTGGCTTGCATTTTTAGTCTCTGTGTTAAAAGAGACCCAGATCCGCTTGGGAGGGCCGGGGAGGTGGAATCTGTCCCCTTGCTTTGTCCTTGCTTGCTTTCTGTTGCTTTGCAGAACAGAAATCTCCACTTCCACCTTTTCTACCTGACTGTTTATGATTTTCCCATCACGCTCCGACACAGGACGTACACTGGATCTAGGCTCTTTTTGTTTCAGGCATTCAAAAAATCACCTCTAAATGTGTGCAAGTCTATTGACTGCTGACACCACATTGATTCTTTGAGGTTTTCCCATCAGCCATCTACATTTTTAACTTGAGACTTACATGAATTACTTTTCCCCAATTCTTGATACGGGGATTATTATTTTTTTAGCAACACTATTGGTGTTTGCATCCCCTGGTAGGTCAGGAAGCCAGCAGAACAACGCGTGTTTGAAGACTCGCAGCTCTGCACATCCCATCGGATGGCTTTCAAGAGGTTTCGTGATCACCTCCGTGTTCCCCGCTCCTTACGCTAGCCATTTCCAAAGATTTGGCGAAACTGTCCCTTTTGAATTGCCAAGTACACGTCTTACTCGTTAGTACGATAAGCGGTTTCACAGAGTAATTGTAATCAGATCATGATTACTGCTACCTAGGCAACTGCTAATTTTTAGGTCAGCAGTGATCTCTTCTTGGTTCACTGGAACGAAGTCCAATATTGGAGCTAGACCATATTGAGTAAAGGACTTTCCATATTCAGGAAGTCTAAAAATAACAAGCGATGGGTCTAGGGTGGCTTTGTTACTGGCTTTCCTGGCCTGAAATCACTCCCTGGAACAGGTTTTCTCCCCGTACTTTTTGGCTGGACACCTGAAGAGCTCTCTCATGGCCTACCTGTACCCCATCAGCAGTCGTGCTACTTAGAGCTTTGTCATGCATCTGCAAGTGAGGCGCAACGTCTCCAAAAAGCAGCAGTGTCCGATGTACACCCCATGCTCGTCCCATCCCAGCCCCCTGGGACAAGCTGAAGGGATCAGTTCAGTCGTGCAATACTCAGGAGAACCGGCTGTCTCATAACCCTTCTCATACCTGAGCAGCTCCAACTCACCTGGTTTCTTACCTTGGCTCCTGGTATGAGCACACGGACCAGTCAAAACTGAGCATACTCCTCAAGCGCACCTGTGGGCTCGGCCTTCTCATCACCGGGATCCTCTTCCCGTTTATGACCCGTTGAAAGCCCTCATTACTGTACCTCGTCTACCATCTCCTGAGACGGAGGCCATCAAACCACCAAGCCCAATCTCCCTGCAATGTTTCCTGGACACACAACATGCCCCCCACGCCCTTCACCATTACCGCTGGTTCTCCTTCGATGTCTCTCATGCACTCAAGGGATCTGCAAAGTCACCGGGATATTCCTCACCGTCTGCTCCCTTCCCGGGTCCCTGAAGCCTCCACGGACGTGGGTAACAACCGTCCTAATCGCTCCCAATAGCAAATCCAGGTCTTCCCGCTGGGACAATACCCACCGGGGTCTCTTATTTCTGGCTGGGATGAGTTTCCTTCCGACTGCTCCCTTCTCTCCTGTCCCCTTTCATGACACCCTTCCTGCTGCTCTCCCCGCACACCAGCCTATCTTCAGTCCTTCGCCATCTCCCTCCACCTGCCTGGTTCAAAGCGCCCCGATCTCAGCCGCTGCAGAGCTTTCCGAGCCCAGCCTTCCCGTCCTTCCCTGTCGGGTCACAATAGCTACCTGCGCTCTGCTTCCCTGAGATTAATCTCTCGGCTGGGCTTCGTCGGGGAATTCCTCCCATCCTCCTAGCAGGCCTTCTCGGCACTGGCGTCCGTCTGAATTCAGCTTTCTGGGACAGCTCAATCTGTCCTGTCACAACTGGGCAAAGCTCCTGCAGGGTTTGGTCAAGGATGCAAGCCGGGATAAAAACCCAGAAAAAGAGAGATGAGAGTGGAGGGGCTGAAGGCACAGGGGCAAGTTCACAGAGCGTCCCTACTGGCTCTCTAGCTTTCCCTTCCCCTACAAGGGTCAGGACATGGCTCTTCCGCTCCAAGACTGAGCTTGCGACTTGCAGAGTTTGGATGTAGTAGGGCCCAGAAAGCAGTGCCAGCAGCAGGTGTCTGCAGAGAGGGAACATGGCCTTCCCCCAGCAGGCCACGTGGACTGGCCAGACTGGGAAACGCCAGGTCAGGTCTCACTCAAAGTCCATCCAGACAGGTCAATCTGCCTACTGACCCCAGGTCACTTGGCATCCATCCTTCTCTGTCCAGCCCTGCAGCGGCCTCGATTTCTGCAGCCAAACTTCCCCTCCAGCTTGTTCAGACCTCGTTCAGGCCCACACAGTTTTGGTGCTCCTGCTCCAAAGGCGGTTTCCAGCTCCACCGGTGACCACGTGCTCTCCCTTTGCTTGGGGTGACTCTCACCGTGCGGTAGAAGCCTTGTCGGCCCGGGGGCAACGCTGCGTGCCAGACAGCGGGACCGGACGAGAGGGTTCCCGGATGGCGTCGAGGTCTCATGCTGCAAGCCGACTCCCTGGGCCAGCCAAGCGCAACCTTTAACGGGTGCTAAACCCTGATGCGACGGCTGTTCAGCGCAGATACGAGCTGCGTACCTTCTCCTCCCTGCTCCTGTGCGTGCGGTTGGTCGCGTGCTCAGCCGCTCCCCCAAGTCCCGCGGGTCTGCGCGAAGCAGGGAGGCTGACGCGTGGCCTTCAGAGAACGTGTTAGGCAGGAAAGCAACCCCGACACGTTAGCAAGCCCCTACCCCCGGGTCCCACTGCAGCCAGCACTCTGCGCACATCAGGGCACACAGCAAATTCCTGGCCTTGTGATGGGCACGGGTGTTGAACCCCTGCAGCCCATTGAGACAGTTGCCTTGGCTGTTCCCCGCATGCCCAGCTCTGCTAAAGTGGCTGCCAGGCAGACACCTCTGCCCCCGTTATGCTTTGCAGCCTCCTCCTGTGAAAAGCTGGGGAAACTGAGGCAAGGGAAGGCGAGGTAAAAGTGCAGTTTCAGGCTGCAAACCCAAGCCAAGGGGCTTCTGGAGAGGGGGCGAGAGAGGCCGGGCAGTTTGGGCAGCAGACGGCAAGTGCTTGTCGTGCGTCCGTGTGTCCACCAGGTGCCAGTCTCTGCACAGCCACGGCCCTGCGGTGCCGCCGCCCGGCTGCGTTGGCAAAAGGCCCAGCTCGGCTTTGCTCCCGGAGCCTCCAGCCAGCCTCAGGGACGGTGCCGGAG